CCCGGAGCGAGGCTCGCCGCGCGGACGGCGGCGGACGGCCGCTAGTATCGAGTGGAGAGTCGACCGTGATGCATAACCCATGAGACTGTCCGTGTGCGCGGGTCCGTGTGCGTGTGTAGTCGTGGCCGGCAGAAGAGGTTAGCAATTCAGATTGAGCGCTTGAGCGGCGCGCGTCCAGCAGCATCACGTCGACGTGCTCCAGTCCATGGCTGCCACCTCCTACATGCCGGTAGGGGCGAGCACGGGCTCGTCCGACCTGGACGGGAGCGGCAGCGTGCTGTCCGGCATGAACCTGGTGAACGCCTCGCTCGGGGGCGGCTACCACACGTCGCCCAGCCCGAGGTCCGCGGCGGACGCGGGCCACCATGGCGTCGAGATGAAGTACATGCCGACGGCGCAGCACCATCACCACCACCATCACCATCAAGTGCCCGCGTCGCCGTCACCCAACGGTCACCCCGTGTCGTTGTCCGCGTCGCATAACCCATGGGTGAGCCTCAACCCGGGCTCGGGGCCGGACCCCTGGGCGGCGAGCATGGCCTCCATGCACAGCCACCACAGTCACCATCATCACCACCCCCACCAGGCCGCCACCATGGCCGACATCAAGCCGTCGCCTCACCACGGGATGCACGACCAGCACCGGGTGCCGCCGCAGCACCAACAGGGGCTGGCCAGCCCCCACACGTGGCACGCCCCCGTGGTGTCGTCGGCGCACTACTCGTCGGCGGGGTCGCCCCTCAACCACCAAGTGTACCATGCGGCGCACGCCGCCATGAACGGCATGCTCCCGCACCACCAGACGTCGCCGCAGCTGCACCCCTCGCTGCGGGACCTGCAGAGCCACTCGCCCAGCCCGCTGCACCTGCACCATCAGCAGCTGGACGGCCGTGGCGACCCGGAGGGCAACGAGGAGGAGTCACCCACCTCGGACGACCTGGAGGCGTTCGCCAAGCAGTTCAAACAGCGAAGGATAAAGTTGGGGTTCACGCAAGCGGATGTGGGGTTAGCGCTCGGGACGCTCTATGGCAATGTGTTTTCGCAGACGACCATCTGCAGGTTCGAAGCGCTGCAGCTTAGCTTCAAAAACATGTGCAAACTCAAACCCCTGCTTCAAAAGTGGCTCGAGGAGGCGGACAGTACGACGGGTTCGCCCACGAGCATAGACAAGATCGCGGCGCAGGGCCGCAAGCGGAAGAAGAGGACGAGCATCGAGGTGTCGGTGAAGGGCGCGCTGGAGCAGCACTTCCACAAGCAGCCCAAGCCGTCGGCGCAGGAGATCACGGCGCTGGCGGACTCGCTGCAGCTCGAGAAGGAGGTGGTGCGGGTGTGGTTCTGCAACAGGCGGCAGAAGGAGAAGAGGATGACGCCGCCCAACACGCTCGGCGACCCCGGCATGATGGACGGCGGCATGCAGCCCCCGCACGGCATGCACCCGGGCTACCACCACCAGGACCAGATGCACGGCTCACCAATGGGGCCGCACTCGCATAGTCCGCCCATGCTCAGCCCGCAGGGCATGTCCCACCAGTCGCTGACGGCGCACTAACATGCGGCCCCACCGCGTTCACCCACCGCCTCGACCACAGGCCGGCCCTATTGGGACTTCCTGTGAAGCAGGAGCCCGCCGTCGGGGCCTCCGAGGCCGCGGATGACGTCCAGGACTACTGGTACTCCTGGGACTTCAGCAGCGGCGCCGGGAGCGTAGACGGCGGCCGGACCGGCCTGGCCGCATCATCGACGGGGACATCGTACGACGCGCAGCGGGACAACTTAGTCAAAGTGGAAACCAAATACGACAACTGAGGAGGCCAGAAGCCAGGAGTGACTGATTGTGTGAGTGCAGTGTGTGTGTGTGCGTGTGTGACTGTGTGTGTGCAAGTGGGGCCTCATGTGATAGAGTCGTGAAGTGTTGCGGGGGCGCGGTGTTCCTAGGGGCGCCTCACGGCCCCGGAGGGAGGCCGGTGAGCCCCCCGCCGCTCATGGCGCCCGTCGCGCTGGCGTGTCGTGCAGACCCGTGTGCGGTCCACCCGCCCCGTCCCGCCCGCCTGCGGGGGTGCCCGACTGGCATCCGCACCCTTGCTAGCGGACCGCGGGGGCGGGGGTCGTGGCGTGAGAGCCATATTTATTTTGGACTAATTGGACAATGATACCAAAAGACTGTGTGGTGGTGTTCGTCGGTGGCAAGAGTACCTTCCCTTTTTGTTTGTTTGTTTGTTCGTTCATTTGTTTGTTTGTTTGTTTTAGTCCAAGACTCGTATAAATTTGCAAATAGATCTGTTTTATATGATTCAAGTTTGGTTATGTAAATATAGAGATAAGAGGATATC